ATTCCTGCTCTGCATCCCAGCCCACTGCTTAAATGAAGAACATCCTTCTCCTTGCCGCTGACTTGATGCTCTCCCTTCACTAATGTAACTCCCCACCACTGTAATCTTTTTTCAGGGACATGATGTTCGTAACTGGTCATGCTTTTACCGTGTTAAGACTTAATCCACATTTTCACTTCAGTTCTATTACAACTGTTTTTTAAAACCAGAATCTGAATGGCTTACCTGTGCAAGCTGTGGCCTCGTCGAGTACTGACTCATCACTCCGGTGACAATGAACTCTATGGAATTCGAACCAAGTTCAAATCTGGCAAAAAAATATCACCCATACTCAGAAAACATCTGGGTTTTTTGAAAGTGGAGTTTTAAAGTACAACTGGGTAGAGAGAGTAGTAAAACAACTTAAGTTCCTTACTTTTCTACAACTTTCTCCCAATTTTCTTTTAAAAACATCCAAGCTAGATGATAGCCAGATGGGTTTTTGGCAACGTACGCAATAATATGTGGAAGATCCTGAGTTCTTATGATGTCACCCCGCAGACCTTCATCCATTAACCTGCGAATTAGTAACAGGAGTGGAAGTTGTTTAGACCAGTAGACGAAGCTGACCAAGTTACTGTTCCCTTAGTATTTGGTACTACAGTTGAGAGTTCACATTTATAAAGGTCCTGACACATCATTTCTGCTTGGTGACTTCCAACCTTTCACAACGGACTCCTCGGCCTCATCCATCTTTCCTGTTTCACAACCACAGTTACTTGGCAGACCTGCATTCTCAATATAAAGGGTAAGAACGACGCTATGGTTTGCGCCAACTCAAGATTTCCAAATTAATAGGAACCTCGCTCTGTTCGTTCAACACCAAGTGTCCATGGAAAAGCCAGGCCTGCCTATGCCGCTCATGACTAAGGTGTCCCAACAGCAGTGCAACGCACAGCGTAAACAGCCACATTGTGAAGCAGCTGAGGTACGTCTCCGGTGACATTGGAACACAGCTAAATGTGCATCCCATGCCGTCACCCCCATCAAATGGCAGAGGTCGGTTCACAGAATGCACGGTTTGAAGCACACACTTGAAAACCTCAGTGACACTCAGCTCTCTTAAAGGCAGAAAACCTCACATTTTTCTAAGAAATGCACAGCACATGTACCTATAATCAAAGCAACTAAAGATACATGAACAAGCATCTGCCAAGCAAGGATAAGGTATCTGCATAGCTGTTGTATTGTATTTTGTCCTCATTTGCTACTGCGAACTCTGAATGCGTTCACTCCCAACACCAAAACACAGAAATGAAAAGGTCCAGCTGCTTCCTCCGACTGTATTAACTCTTGTCAAGTTTTATCCATCACGAACTTCAAAAGCTATGAAACAAGACTCTGAGTAATTCTGCTTCCTGTTCCAATGTCCATAAGTTTTCCCCAAACACATTTCTGCTCCTGTGTGACTACTTACCACTGAAGTTTGTCCTTACTCCTGCTGAGGCTGAGAGCTAATTCGATCTCCAATCTCTCTACGCTGAACGCATCCAGTCTGTATTTGCTAAGGAGGAAATCCCAGCCTTCAGGTGTCTGCGCTCCAACAGCATACACCGCCGTCTTCACGTCTGCCGGCCAGCTACAACAAGCTGAATTCCAAGTTAGTCTCCACGTCGTATTTAGGAACACGTGTAGAAACACAACCATGTCACCGTCACACATCAGCTGGCATAGCAGACAATTTATTAAAAAACTCTGGTCCCTCGGGGGTATTAGAAAGTGATCCCTGTGGCTGGGAAACACATTCTCGGTGTTCCTGCCTTGGGAACGACTTCCAGAAATTCAGGACTCCTCATTCCTTTTTTTTTTTTTTTTTTCCCCTTTATATTTGTATATTCCTTTCATGGCTATGCAAGTCAGTTACCAATGTGGTCTTGTTTGGCCTGCCCAGAACAATTGCTCAGAGACATTTTGGAGCGTGTCCCAGGGAGTTCTTATGTCATGACGAGAAACAAAAATGAGGTGAAGCTCAGGAACAGCAGTTACCTATTTTTACAGCGCGTATAGGTCGATCTTCAGACATATAAATAAGGGAACACACGTTATTTTCACTTCTCAGAACAGTTTAAAGACCCAAGTTGAGGGGTGCCACAATGCGTGTGCTAGTTTGGGCACGTGTTACGCACCGGACTGGGAAGGCACTGGGAAGCTCAAGTGTAAGATACAAAGCTACGAAGGCTCAACTTCAGCATGCGGAAAGGACTGAAGTTTAGCTGTTTTCATAAATTAACTCCAGGGTAATTAAACAGAGTATCAGAAAATACAGTAATAGTTACAGCACAGACCTCAAGGTTCCATTGGATTTCTGCCACTGTGTAAAATACCCCTTGGCTTTGTCCACGCAGGGCTGGTACTGGTGCACGCATGAAAACAGCAGGAGCAAGTGCCTGAGGAATCTCTCTGACACCGAGCCCTCATCGCTCCAAGACTGCTTGTCAACCAGGTCCTTAAACAGATTGACTATATACTCCTAAAATAAGGTAGCAATACAGATAAGATAAATTTTAGAGTGCATTTTGCAGGGTACAGGCAGAGTTAGAAAGTTCTAGATACTTAAAACGTTACCTTTAACTGTTTTTCTGTACCTTCCATATCCCTCCGCTCCATGAGCCTGTATACAGGAATCAGTTCATTCATACCCTGGAGTACGGGCATGATTTGTCTTTCATGTTCAGGTATAAAGTTAAATCAAAAGCTTTGGAAATTGACAGTTTTTCTATCCTAAGGAAGTAGAAGAGAGGGGACAAAACAAGTTACAATTAAAAGCAAAATCCAAACCAAATGTTTTTCGGAAGACTATACAAATAGGAAAGACCTAAAGGTATTTCCAAATCCCTTCTAGCTTTGCTCTTTGATGTGAAATGCGGCTGAGGAGGTACATAAGCTATGAAACCTAACATTTAATCTTCAAACTGCAAAAGGGACTGCAAGAGAACGATTTGGAAAGATCGACCTTTTCCCCCCGTCTCCCATGTGCCAAGGTTATCCCAGCACAGCCTCTCCCTCTTGCTCTCTCCCCACTTTTCCTTTTGCTCTTCAAACCGCATACCAACAGAAGGAATCCAAAGACTGAGATCATTTCCTTAGCAATGCTCTCCTAGCTCGACATGGAGGTATTGAGCCCACAGTAAACCTCAAAGCTACAGTCCCAACTGCTTCTTCGCTGTCTTTACCTGACTTTGCAAACCACCTTCTGCCTCTGCCAGGATACATCTTGGCGGTTTCTTCCAACAGCAGAGAAAACTTTTCTCACTCTCCCTGTTCATTTTCTCATCCTTCTGCGAAACCTTTTTTCTCCTTCCTTTCCATGTCAGCTCCCTGCACACGTTCTTCTTTTGTCCTCACTCACCTGCCTCCTCTCCTTCAAAACACAAGTATGTAGAAAACGAACCCTGTTTTACCCAATTTGCATCCCTAATTGTCCCTCCTTCCTTCCTTCTCTAAGCTCCTCGAACACACTGAGCAATCTTTCTGCACTCTCACCTTTTCAAAGTAGGAAGCCCTTTTTTCTGCCGTCCAAAGAAAAGTCTTGACTAGCCCTGCTGACACTGCCTTGTGAGCTGCCACCTCAAATTCATACAGCCTTAACCATGTTGAAGCTCTCCCCACCACCCTCTTGCTGGAACGCCGCAAGCTCAGACCAGGAATTATTTCTGTTGATTCCTTCTCTGCGCCAGGCTGTGCACAACGGTTTGCAAAGCCCCTCTGAGACACAGCCTTGTCTAACTCATCCACAGCGCTAAGACTAACCATGAGCATAATCGCATCACATCTTTATGACTGTAATAGCCTTGCTTCTATGCTGACGAGTGGCACCAGTATCTTTCCAGGTGCAAAGACATTATCCCAGTCCACCACTTCACACTAGCATCCTTCCGTTAGCGTGTCTTCACTGAACACTACATGTTTCAATAAATAGGCTTAAATAAACCCACTACAGTGAAGAGAAGTCCTGGTTTTATATGCTGTAAGCAAGAAAAGAATCTGCTGTCCATCTATTTACAGACATAATGAACGCTACATACACTATCAACACGTCCTTCCTCAGTGGTACACACTCATAAACACAGAGTTGGTGGTTTTTTCGGACTTGGGCAGAAGGCCTTACCTCACGAGCTGGAATACGTTGTTAATGAGACTTGCTCTGTCCTTGCTGCTAGTCACAATATGGTTCTCCTTCAAAAGGTTAATGAGACGATGCCATCCATCGCCTTCGTAGTGTACAAGGTAATATCCGTTCATGTCCACATTGAATTTAACCCACTCCACCTCTTCCAGAAGGATAATGACATCTGGAAACAAAAACGTAACTCCTTTTTTTCTCAGTGATTCCAACGCTTCCTAGCACTATACCAAATAATACTGTTACTCTCATTTCAGCTATTTAAGAAACACAGTAAAATGGTTTCTGAATGTATTAAGAGATCATTGTAGTGACTTTACTGAGCTGACAAAAATTTGCTCCTCTGGCATCAGTAGCTGCAGTTCCCTGTTCTGCAAAAAAACCTTCAAAACCGGAGGCTTGCAAACAAACTTTGAATAAATTGATCACCTAATCAGTCAAAGAAATTACCTGCTTTAGTTGTCATCAAAAATCTCTGAAGGGTGTCAGATTTACTGGTATGGTAGGTGAGTAGAATGTGCCGCAAGTACCTGTTGCAAAACAGAAGTGCTTAGTTTAATGCAAGAACTTTGCAGAAGCTTCTCCAACCTGCCCCAGTCCAACCGCCGAGTACCATCGTGGCCCACACAGTAACACCAGCGGCTGCACTTGCGCCTCTGAGCGCCGTGCAGGCCCAGACGCACCTAGCTAGCGTTCACGTAGCTGCTCGGGGGATCACCATCACTGAAGCTGCGACACTATGAACCTTCCAGCCCAGTTCCACCCGCACATCTCCAGTGCAGGCTCACCCAGCCCTCCCAGCCACTGCAGCTCTGCAGCTCCTGGCACCTCGGGCAGGCACGCAGCGTCCAACAGGGCCTACGAGTACTACTGATCCTGAGCTACACAGAGAAAGACTCAAGACCACACAGCTCAGGGAGCAGTCCTCAGGAAACAACAGTCAAAGCTCTTATCGTGCAGGACTGTTGGCCATAGCAGAGTATTTCGGTTTGCCTGCTGAGATTTCCCTTTTGTTTACCCTGGGGATGAAGGAGAATCTGCTCCCTTCCCGTAGCACTCCTGCTGCAGGTAGACGTTCTTCCCTCTCACCGTGACAGTTACGAGGGAAAAGCCTTTTTGCAGCGTCCAAGTGTCCATCATTACCCTCACATCAAGAGTCTCTCCTTTAGTCCAGTGCTGGTTTTTAGCAAGGGAGAAGACATGTAAGGAGGAAGGCGGGAGTACATGGACAGTGAAACAGCGACGGGCACGTAAGAACTCCGTACAAGCTGCTGGGTGTTTGTGAGCTCTACATAGGTATGTTTAGACTGGATGTCATGACATCTCCAGCCACTTTTTCTTGTGGATGTTTTCATATAGTTAATGACATCTCTTGAAGTACTGCTGGTCTTCAGTCAGCCCTGGGCACTGGGGTAGGATTTCTGCCCCCTCTCAGAAAAACCAGACTTCCAGCGGAACTGAAGAAACTTACGCTCTCCCTAGAACCATGCTCAAGTGGCACCGAATGTTTTGGGAAGGCGCACCAATCAATGCCACAGAACAGAGTAGTAACCTGAGGGGACACAGGTACGTGTCAAACTCCCAAATACTGATAGGTAAAAGCCCAGATGCTTACGGCACTTGAAGATGACTGGTGGCTTCTTCAGCAAAAACCTTGTAGTTCGTTCTGGTCAGCACCTACTGTAGGGCAAATCTGAAAGGAAAAACAAAAAAGGTTTGGTCATCTCTCTTTGATGCCATAATCATTAGTACTGGTCAGAGTCTTCAGTAATATACTAGAGACACGTTATTCACGAGAAGTTACGGAAGTTGAAGAAAACCAAGAGGATAAGGAATGCTTGCATTTGTCATGGTGTCCCACAAGTCTTCACTTTTTGTATTCTGGTAGCTGTATTTCTGCAGGTACTGCACAAGTCCAGCTTTAAACACATCAGCAGTCAGGTAGTCCCTCAGCATATTTAATACACAAGATCCCTGGAAAAAAAAGAGTGACAAAGCGTTTACAAAACTACTCCTTAGCTGGCAAGATGCTCGTTTCAGGAAAACTGCAGCATGCCACTAACCTACGTAACAGTTCACTTTGGTAGGTCTCTGATCAAAAAAATAATTGGGTTTTATGTATATTGACACAGTACTTTGATTTGTTCTGATCACTACTCTTAAAAATATCTCTGATGGAGTAAGTTATTATATCCTAATTACTGTACAAGCCAGCACCACATAATGCTCCAGCAAAAAATGTTCCTTGGGTTAAAAACCCACAAAATGATTTAAGACTAAACTCACACAGAACGGACGGAAGTAAAGGCTTCCTCGTTTGAGAAATGGCAACTTCCATTTGAATCCCCGCAGGCATTCTGGACCAGGAACTATTCAAGTCATAACACCATTAACACCATGTGCCTGAGACATCTTATATGTGGGGGTGAAATCAGGGGAGTGCAATTGTATTGGACAAGCAGAACAACGGGAATCAGCAGCAGTTTTGTATTTTACCTTGTTGTAAGAAACACCATCAAACATTTCTAAAATTTGAGCTGGATCTTCCACAGGAGTAGAGATAGGGTGGGACGAATTTAATGCATCCACCTCCATGGCATCAAAACACCTCCCTAAGAAATAGTCTTCCTAATAGGAGGCTAAACCAAATATTACTAATAAATTTTGCCCAGTGACCACTGAGCCCCTATTCATTCACTTTTCAGTCCATTCCACATGTTCTTTAAATCATACCAAGAAAGCAAAACAACTTTCTTTTTATTCCAGAGCATAAAAAGCCCCAAAACAGTAATACAGACAGCCAAAGGAGTTCTAGCGTCCTGAACTAACTGAAATGGCTGGTCTAGTGGAAGATGTCCCTGCTCTCTGCAGAGGGAGGCTCACTAAATGACCTTTAAAGGTCCTTTCCAACCCAAACCATTCTGTGATCCTCTTCTATGATTCTAAATAGCTGAGCTAGTGAAACTTAGAAATAACTCCAAAAAGACACCCGCACATTCCAACGGTTTGATGACAGAGTGGTCACTAACCATAAAACAAATTTAAAAAAAAAAAAAAAGAAGGTGAATTTCCCTGTTATCATGACTCTGTAGTGCTATGGCAAAATCCTGACCAGATGCATTGTTCATCTCACTTTGGTAGAAAATTTCATTTATTGGACCTGTGCTAAAGCTAGCAGAAGGACTTTAGTGTTTTCAAGTCTGACCCTATTTGATGAAATAAGAGAAAATAATTTCTTTACATTTTTGGAAGTCTAGAAAGTCTTTAAAAAAGAATACATTTTCACTGCAATCATTAACTTCCATCATAAGTCCCTGAAAATATTCACATATAGTTAAATCAACATTCCTGCCCTTCAGAGTTAACATCAGATAATCCTCTCAAACAGAAATTTAGAAGTCATTCACAGCACAAATCTGCTTGAACTTTATCCTGACTAATTAGCGGATTTAGAAGGCAGTTATAAAATAAAAACACAGTAACTGCTGCTCACAACTCTCAGTTCTGGATGGGCAATGTTGACTGATGAGCTCCATGAACTTCGCAAACCCTTCATTCAACCACAGATCGTTCCACCACTCCATGGTAACGAGGTTGCCAAACCACTGCAGGAGAAAAAAAAAAAAAGGCACTTCTGAGATTAAATACGCAATTTATCACAAAAGCTGGTACTGACCTGGGTGAAACTGCATTTGTAATATGCTACTGACCTCGAAGGGACCTTCTTTTAGTGATACAGCTTGCTCCGGCCTCTTCCCCTTACATTTCTGGTTTTCATAGCAATATGCTAAAACACTGGCTTCCACTCACCTTCCAAGAAACCACGTTTGGCAGGAGAGCCACACAGGAAACAGCTAACCCTTCCAAACTTTCCTGCCTCTGTTTTGGTGCACTGCAATTAATTTCAAGGGCTGGCAATGGTGCAAAGGCCCCGCAGCACTGGAGCTGCTGAACTGAACAAAGACACTGATGCTTGCAGCCCCCTGCGTCCATGCAGCCTGCCAGGACTCCTCCACCAGCAACGGTCCCCGTGATTCACCAACGAGCACCCTCAAGCCAAAGCAGCTCTTTTCAGCTTCTACCTCCAAGATCCCCTGCCACCCACGCAGCACCCATCAACCCCGACCCCTCCGCAGGCCCACTCAGACTCCTTATTCTTCCCCGAATCTCACCTGATGAGCCAGCTCGTGGGCTATTACCATAGTAATCCAAAGTTTAGAAGACGCTGAGGACTTTTCAGGGTCATACAACAATGCAGATTCCTGGTACGTGGTCAGTCCCCAGTTTTCCATAGCGTCAGACTGAAAATCAGGTATAGCTGCTAAATCTAGACAAAAACCATTAAAGTTGTACTAGTATCATTTTACTCAAGAAAGAACTCACTCACCCGCTCCTCCCACTCTATGACTACTCCCACACAGGCACACGTATCACATATGCTCTTAAATACCATAGCAAAAACGTACTTTAAAACAAAGTTTTAGGCAAAAGACAAGGACTTTTAGTTCCCAGTGGAGCTTTTTAGTCTGCCCTTAAGTTCTGCAAAGCAGTCAGTTTAAAAGCCTGTGAGCCCAGCCTGGCCCTGCCTTAATACTCTAAATTACTGATTTTGTGCTGTTTTACTCTCTGTGCTTAATAATGTTCTCGAATACATTAGGTTATTTAACACTTACCTTGTTTAGGTAAAGGATATGGAATGCTGAATTAATCCTCATAGAAGTCTAAAAGTTTCACTGCCGCATCCAACGCATAACTGGCTTGGTTGACCTTGTCTGGCACCATGTACACAGAAATCTACAGCAGATGAGCAGCAGCACTTCAGTACCAGCACCAAAAGCTGACAGAAGTCGTTCTTTATCGAATGACCATAAAAAGGGAAACCAGAGCACACACCTAACACTTCTCATACAGGAGTTATTAAAACATTTGCAGAAAAATGTTATCAGAATCAGGGATACGAGTCCTAAAACTTGGCCACCGGAACCACTATGCCCCTACAAAGACTTCTGCAATTTCCACCCCTAGACCTTAAGAGTCGTTCAACTGACACAGCTTTATTTGAGTGCTCGTTCTCCATGAAAACTGTATTTCATTTGCCTTTAATTGTATGACCTTATGTGAAACAAACCATGTTACCAATGCATAGAAAGCAAGCCCGTTACCAAAAACTTCAGAAACTAATAAAGCTCTGAAGGGAAACCAATAATCTAATTACAAAACCAACTTCTTTCTCTCCTTTTGTTCCTGTAAAAAGTCAAGATATCCAGTGACTTAACTGAAAAGTAAACCATTATGTGTTCATACAGACTTAAATACAAAAGAGCTCTCAGAAAATGAAGCAGAGTTACCTTAACTCCATGATCAGTTATTTTGCTGATGGATTTAAAATCCGAAACAATAAAGGCCACGAGATACGTGCTCATCTTGACAGTGGTACCAAAATGGTCCTCAACGAGCCAGGGAGTCAGATTCACAGACTTCACCTAAAAACCGAGCACAGCTCACCACCCAGTGGCTCTACCTGTGAGGACCCCAGCACCAACAGTCGCGTTTCTTCTCAGTTTATAGGTACTACGTTTTAAAGACACCACGTTTTAAAGGCAGTACATTACGTTTCAACGATACTGCATTTCAAAGAAAGACAGGAAAGAAGTCACCCCCATGCCCACTCTTCCACACAGAGCACGGAAGCACGCACGTGTGTATGTATGGGCAGTAACTCATAACCATTACTTCTACACTGCTAAAACCAGAAAAATGAAAACCCTGTTCAGTGCTTCAGCTCTGTTGTGTCTGCCAGCAGACCGATCCAAGTCACCTCACACAACTTCGGCTGATGAGAACTGGTACGAATCTCAGCAGCCGTTCTCACACACGAGAGAAACGGACTCCTCCAAATCGCAACTCGGTTACCGCAGATACCTAGTTTGGTGTAAGAGGACTCACGTGTTGGAGGTGTCCGTTTCCCCCTCTTGGTTACAGCAGCCTTAGCTAACTCACTCACACCTGGAACACGTTTAGCCACACAATGGTAACACCGGCGCCCACTCCTTATTCATTATTTTACCCATTTATCTACAAAAGAACTCATTTTTTTTTACCAACTTTCAAAATGTTCCATTTTTGAAAGGTACTTGGGCGGGCCATGGAGGGTGCTGTTCCTTCATTTATAAGGGTTAGTTTCCTTGCAAACCAGAAAGTACGGAAGAAATTATGAAAAATCTCTTGTACCCGAAGCAAGATCAAATGTACAGACCTAGTTCACTCAATAGATGTGTACGTATCTATAATCGCCAACAATATTTGTAGCTATTACACGTACAGCCCTTTCACTCAGAAGTTTTTCTGAAGTCCAAAGTTGGTTGCTTTTTTTTTAACAGAGAAGGTCCTGCCTATCTGACAAGTTAATACAGAGGAATCGTGTATTTATTCATACATATTTCATCATTAATCTTAAAATCAAAGATCAACATGAAAAGCATTCTGTGAGTAAAATAAAGATTAAGGAGACTACATTGTGCTGCCCATTCTCACACCTCTGCTGAGAAGCAGGAACCCACACAACGCATCTATTTCTTCATTCCTTTCCAACCTTGAGGCAAGACCACCCGCAACAGCACCACACACTCTCACCAAAGGACTGCGGTAGGGTTCAGACCACCGTTGCCATTAACAGTAATTGCCAGGACGTCTTGTTCTCCTTTGCTTTCCCGTTTCAAAGATCGTCAATCAACAGCACATCGTTAAAAGTATCCACCTACAATTGGCATATTGGACAGTGCAACGTGCTTCGGTTCCCTCCTAATCTTAATGGAAAACGTGGCTTTGAAGGCCGGCTCATGAAAACACGGGAAGGCCATTCGTGCAGCCGTCGGCTCAAACTGTGTTGCTGCAAGCACTCTAAGTGGGGAAAAAAAGCAAGGGTTTTGGTCACATACCTTCCTATGCGCAGTGTTCACACACACACACGCCCCCCAATATGTGAAAACGGAGCAATTTCACCTTTACAAATTAACTACAGGTACCAGGTTGAGGGAGGTGATTCTCCCCCTCTGCTCTGCTCTGGTCAGACCCCACCTGCAGTGCTGCATCCACCTCTGGGGCCCCCAGCACAAGACAGGCATTGACCTGCTCAAGTGGGTCCAGAGGAGGCTACGAAGATGCTGACGGGACTGGAGCAGCTCCCCTGTGAGGGCAGGCTGAGAGAGTTAGGGTTGTTCAGCCTGGAAAAGGCTCTGGGGAGACCTTAGAGCGGCCTTTCAGTGCTGAAAGGGAGCTGCAGGAAAGGTGGGGAGGGACTTTTGGTCAGGGAGCGCGGTGATGGGATGAAGGGTAACGGTTTCAAACTGAAAAAGGGCAGATTTAGGTTAGACACAAGGAAGACATTCTTCCCTGTGAGGGTGGTGAGGCAGTGGCACAGGCTGCCCAGAGAAGCTGTGGCTGCCCCCTCCCTGGCAGTGCTCAAGGCCAGGCTGGACGGGGCTGGGAGCAACCTGGTCTGGTGGAAGGTGTCCCAGCCCATGGCAGGGGGTTGGAACTGGATTAGCTTTAAGGTCCCAACCCAAACCGTTCTGTGATTCTGTGACTGCGAGTCGACGATTACCTGAGTTCTCCCTCCGGGGTCCTGTAGGTGCTTTTATAAAAGCCATGGAAGGACTCAGAGAGGTTTGAGAGGTACTGGACGCTGAGTGTGTAGTTGTGCCCGGCCTGCAGCGGCTCGGCGGCGAGGAGAGCCACCTGCTCCAGGGCCTGGTGCTCCAGCA